AATATCAGCATTAAAATAGATTCTTATTTACCTTTAGTTATATACTGTATATTATTAATAAACTAATAATAAAAGGCTCATCCAATTGTCATACACTTCATGACCAAATCGTACAACGTTTTTCCATGACAGGATCAAGAACGTCTGCATGTATCACATTAAATGAGATCAACTTTCCTGTCCTTTTTTCCGTGTAGGCAAAGCCGTGTGTGTATCGTTCCGTAGTTTTGAAATTCATCATGTTTGATTATTTAATAAAGTTATCTATAAAATACCAAATGATCTAATTATTTGTCTGCTCATCCTGTTTTGTTTGTGTTGCTTATAATTAAATAGCTATATCGTTGAATAATAGAGAAATACTCATTTCATGTTAGAAAATATATAATAAATTTCAGCATTAAAATAAATTATTAATAATAAAAACTCTCCAATTGATTCATAAAATAGTAAATGGAAACAAATTTTGGTTTATCGTCTAGTTGAACATAATTTGGAAAAGTTATGTTAGTTTGATCTTTGGAAATAACATGTTCAGCTACCTTTCTCCAGTTGGAGGACTGTCTCTTGTATATAGTGATCGCACATGGCCCTGTAATACTACTAGTAAATGGCATTTTTGTCTTCTAAGTAAAGTATGTCGGGAGTATGATTTTTTTTTTTTTTTATTCTTTTGCACAGTGAACGTTGGTATTATTTTAAAGGCTTTTGCAATGATTTTTTATTTTTTTATTAGCGAAACGTTGCATTCTTAAAAAATCCTAAAAAGTACTTTAAACTATATAAATAATATGCGAACTCAATTGAATTTGATCGGCAAAATTAGCCAATCAGACAAACTTCTGCCTATGGGTCTGTCCTACCAAAAAAAAAACCAATAGGATAAATAATTAATGCGTACACGTCGATCATATAACGAAACTTTTATTAATATTAAAAAATATGAAAAAAACGCAGGTAACAAAAAGAAATCGAGTTGACAATCGCGATGAAAGAGAAAGGTAAGTGTTTTAAGGATGGTGGTGGTGGTTATCGCCCGCCACTTGTCGTTACTCTAGTTTTTTTGAAAAATTGGCAAAAAGTTCAGCGACTAAATGACTTGCACTATTACTATAGAGATAAAGAGAATAAGTCAGAAGCTTTGGTTGATGTTGTTGCAAAAAAAAATTCCAGATTTCGGAATGTCTTGCAATAAAGTAACTATTACTATCTAGAATTATGATTTGGTAATTCTGGAAAAATTAAAAAAAATTTATTTTATAGGATTTAGAAAAATTTAAAACGGAAATGGAACTGCTCTATGAAAGATCACCAAAAAAGTAAGATACTTTATTAAAATTATTTTATTTTGGTTAATTAACTAATTATTTGATATCTTTATTAGTGATTATATTAGAATTGGAGTAATAGACCTACAAGATACTTCTAAAAACCGTTCAAATATTTACAAATATGTTAAAAACAAATTAACTGATAATACTAATTTTTCATCAAAATTCGAGGAGTTTATATCTTCTATTGCTGATTTAAATGTTATAAAATTGTTAGAATCAACAAAAAAATTCAATAACCTTGATGATATTATCAATACAATCAATACATATCAAAAATTTGAAGATTATCTTTCTTTTAATCAAAATAGTATTTTTTTAAAATTTATACTTGATACTTTAAGAGTTTAGTAAGTAAATATCATTTTGACAACTCATAAAAATAATATTAATGTATATAATATAAGTTTTAATCTTTGTTGTTAACTATCAATGTTATAATCAATTTTTAATTTCATTCCTAGTTCTAATACCTTTGGCATAAATGAAGAATATTTTGATCAGAATTTATCCGAGCCTCATATTGCAGCTATATTATATACTCCTATGTTTTTTTCTTTATTTAGATCTAAAGAATTTAATACTGAGATTTGCAAGTAAGCAATTTATTCATTAAAATTTGTTGTTAAAAAATTTAAGTTTTCTGATAGGCATATTAATTAGATCCAAAAAACGATTGCAAATAACTAATTTTTTTTTTGATTGTAAAATTTAACATATTTCATCTTTAGGGAACACCTAGCTAATAAATATTGTAGAAATATAGATAATGATTCAAGAACTAAATTAGGTCTAGTTCCTGATATTAAAATAAAATATAAAAGAAAATCAATAGAAACTTTGTGTGTTGAGCATGCAAAAAAAATAGCACTTTTAGACCTTCCAAAGAGCAAAAGAGATTATACAAAATTACAATTACTACTTCACAATCAGATACATCTTGTATCTGAAATATTATCAAAAAAAAATAAGCTCAATGAAATTTATAAATTTAAATCGTTTGGTATAAGGACTTCAGGTAACATCTTTTAATGAAATATCAATTATTAAAGAATGTTTATTTTAACCAATATTTTTTTAGGGTTAGAATTGAAAAGCTATGTGATGTATTTAAAGCACCCACAATTATATATATTTGAAGAAATTTTTAGTACTAATCTTCCTACAAATATATATAATTATCATGACATTTATGATACACTGGTTTATTTAATGCTATTAAGGGTATTTATTTATTTGACTCATGTGAAGTTTTCACTACATTCTCATTAGAGGCCCTAAAAGAAAATTTAATAATTTTTAGGATGCAGTGGATAAGAATCACAAAATTCTTCTGGATGTTTTATCTAATAAGAATAATCATAAAAACAATACTCTAGTTGAGGATTGGGTAGTTGATTTTGAAGTCACTTCTCCTCTTCAAGAAAAAGAAGGAAATCAGGAAAAAAAATCAAAAAAAAATTAATAGACAATTATTTATATTTATAATATTAATTGATTTTCAAACACCTTTTCTTTTCTTTTTTTTCTTTTGAATATTCACTCAACTAAAATTAGAAAAAACATCATTTGCAATAATCTTAGTATTGGTAAATTTATATATTGAAAAACATCAAAAGAAATGATTTAGCAAAATAAAATTAATTTTAAAATGACTTTTGGTGCAGCAAATCTTAACTCAATTTAAAGACTAGTGCCGTAATCCAAAAAAGGAAAAAGTATGGTTGCAAAAATGGTCGCAAAGGTAATTGCAACCACTTTTTATATGCCGTAAATACAATTACTACCATCATCATAATTTACGGCACTAGTCTTTAACTCAATTTATTGTTCTTATCTAGAGATGGGAATAGGGTTGTGTTGGTCTTTAAAAGACTGGACCTTGAATCAGTCCCTTTGAACCACAGCCCTAAATTTCAGGACTGGTCAGAGTCCTTATATATATTTCTTAATAAGGAAATTTTGAATTATGATAATAATAATCACACATTACTAAATTAAATTATTAATAATACCAATGTTCACTTTGTCTGGTTTTGTTGCAGTATGCCCCAATTAATATTGAAAACTTCCAACTGGACTTGACATTAATAACAGTATTTCTTAATCCTTTAATATTATTGATGGTACTAACCGTTATATTAGAATTCAAGAGATTTATAATATAATTATTTAAATTGGAAATCAACAATTTTATTATTTAGTGAAAATGAATTAATATCAATGCAAGTATTTTCTTAATTATTTAATACAACAGTTTGAAAATTGTCTTCATCAATAACTTTAGAAACCGCAGCAGTATCAGTAGAGGTGGCAGTAGTGGATACTGATTTTTCTTCATTTAAAGAACTCTTTGATTCTATTGCTGTTTTTTTGACTTAAAGAAAATTTACTTTTTGGTGCCAATAAAGACTTCTGTTTGTTGAGTTCTTCTACTAATGACTTGATTTGCTGATTTGAAATGAAATAATGATTTTAATGCAATAATTGATAATAGGTCTTTTTATTTACCAAATTAGATTGTCTTTGATCATAAGCTGGTAAAAATTTAGTTGCAACTGTAGTTTTATTTTCAAGTTCATTTATCCATTGTAGCAAATTTTCACATAATGTAGGAATTGATGGCTTTGGTCTTCGATAATTCATTCAATTCATTGATAGATTTTTGAATGTCAAATAATATCAAATAATAATAATACATTTTTTTAGACATATTTTACCAGATCTTTCTTCCTGAAATTCATGCCAGAATTTATATGCAATAGCTTCTTTACCCATTTTTTATTTTTAAAATTTGCTATTGACAACCAGAACGATTTTTTTAAATAAAAATATAAGACATATTATTTTTTCTGTCAGTGACAGACAAGCTTAGAAACAAGAAATGCTAATGTCAGACAACAAAATATCTTTAATATTAGTCAATAAGTTGAACAATAGGAATATTATAATTTGTTACGAGACAAATAAAACCTCTCTGTAGTGACAGCATGTAACGTGTTATAATATTCTTTAAATAGACCTCTGTATAAATAACACCTCATGGTAGAACATTATTTGACTCTACCATAGTATCCAATTTGTCTGGTATGTTTAGAAAATGAAAACGTTGAACATTACATCATAAAATATGGTTTTTAAAAGATATATCCTATTATACCAACAAACCCTAAAGACTAGTATTAGAAATGATCGCTATTAAAAAAATTTAACTAGTGAACTCTTCAGATGGCATCAATTATCCTACTCATTGGTTTTCCAATATTAGCTTTTATACAAGCTCTACAAATTGTTCTTCTATGTGTACAATTTTACTTTATCTGATAAAATTTTAAATCAAAGTGTAAAAGTGCTCTTTCCACTGCGGTTTTGATGTATCTTTGATACAAAAATCATACTTAGGTAACACTTTAACCAGCTGGGGATGTTTTTATCAAGTTTTTGATAGAATTAGAAGTGGAAAAAACAATGACCCAAAGAATAGTAACACCCATTTTTTATGGTTTAATATTAAGGGCTGATCCTACGAGGTCATTTATTAATTATACCCGCGGTGCATAAACTTAGTTACTCAGGTACGTTTTTAAGCACGTGACTACGACTAACATGCTAAAGATCTGCACTACAAATAGTATCCATTTGAATTTTTTTTTGTCGATTCTTAAAAAAATGTCTACTAAAACTCCAATAAACGATTCGACTTTAAATCCAGATGATCTATTTGTAAAATATACAATTCCTGAAGTAAGAGCTTTAGAACAAAAAACTAGGTACCTTTTTTGAATTATTATACAGTCGGTGCACAATATAGTGAACCCACTACATAAGTAATCGTATGATATAATATTATATAATGATATGTTTTTTTTGTCAAAAACCAATTCTTCATATATCGAGCACCGATTGTAAATACTTATTTGACGTCAATGGGTTTGTGTTGAAATATCTTTATGTTTTAAATAGATCTGATGTTGAAAAAATGAAACAAGAATTAAGACAAATGGTTGGGTGAGAACTCTTTATTATGATTTAATATTTAAAGAAATTCATTTGTTAGTTTAATTAATCCCAACTAATTAATTTTAATTTATTTTCTTTAGTGAAAGGTACCGTGATTTAATTGATGCGGCTGATAGTATCGTAAACATGCGTCATTGTGCCATATCAATTCAACAAGAATTAATAAATATGCAAGATTCTTGTGATGTCGACACTTTAAAAAGATCTGTTAGATCCCAGATTGATGAGGGTAAAAAAGGAATTAAAGGTTGGTCAGTGTTGATTTTCTTTTTATAATATTTATGTGGCGCTATCTTGTTAGTATATGCCTATTTATATTTTTTATTTTTAAAAGATGGAAAAAAGCATTATCATTATACTGCAGCTGCACAAATAAAGCTACTCGTGGATGTACCTGAGCAAGTATGTAATTACATAAAAGAAAAAAAATTTTTTTTTGTTTAAAAATTTAATGATAATTATTATCAAAATATTGATATAGATTTGGCGTTCACTGGAAAATCACAAATATTTAAATGCTAGCCGTTTATATCTTATTGCCAGATTAGTTTATAAAAATCTTCAAGTTCAAAATGATGATGTTCCTTTTAATATTTCGGTATAATTATATTTTTTGATTGTAATTTAAAAAAAAAATTTTAAATTAAATCTTTATTGATTTTATTTTAAGGTAACATTTCCTGTGGTTCAACGCCAATGGGATGCAGTCAGTCATTTTAAATCACAAATTCTTCAAAAAGCAACACAATATCTAAAAGCCATAAATCAAACTGAACAGGTTTTTAAAAAAAAACTTTTCAAATCTTATTTATTTTATTTTATTTTATTTTATTTTATTTTATTTTATTTATTTATTTATTTATCAAATTATTTTAAAAAGAGTTTAGCGGAGACTTTATGTGCAATTATGTTGTTGGACGATATAACAAAAAAAGATGTATTTCATATGTTTCTTGATAGAAGAACTTTTGTTTTAATGGAAATACTTGAAAATTCATCTACAAAAAATTTAAAAGTATTAGTGCAACAATTCAAAGAGATGATTAATGTAATTAAAAACACTGTATATTCTATTGGAATGGTTTTTATTCAAAACAATTACGATGATAAATCATTATTTGAATCTTATCTTGAACAATTACAAAAAGGCTTTACAATTTATAATGAATCCACTACTATTCAATCACCAGTTTCTATGGTTTCGCCTAGAGATTCTAAAATGTCTCTTACGAGACTATATTCTCCATCAACCAACATTCATCTTTTATTGCGCTACCTTCCTGAATCGATTCAAACTTTTACTCCATCTTTGCTTCTAACTGGACAAAAAGGTCAATTCTCACAAGATGATATTAAGAATAAGATAAATATTTGGTTGGATCATATAATAGAAAATTTTCAATATAAACTTATTTTTATTTTGGATAATGTTTCAAGTGCCAAAGAATTAAACGAATTACGAAATCATATTTGGGGATTCTTAAAAGATGATGAAATTACTAAATTAGATAATCAATCGTCAACTAAAAAAACTCACAGTAGTAGAGCTCATAGAACAAGTCTAGGGTTTGTGTTAAATCTCCAAAAAATAAATCGTTCTTGGAATATTGTAACGTATCCCTTAACTAGTACATCATCTTTAATATTATTTAAAAAATTGTTTTTCTTATATTATTGTTATTTAAACCCTATTATATATATATATATATTTATATTTATGTATGTATATGGTTTTTAAATCACTTAGGCTTGCAATATAGTTTTTGGAAAATATTTTTCTATCTGGAATGATTTGTTAAGACAAAGTTTTAACAATAGATTTCAAAATATAATACAAACCTCTTTTTTGGAACTTTCTGAACAGCCAGAAAAGTTACTAAAAGATAAATTGCCGTATTTAGATAATTCAGATAATGAAGGTAATTTAAATTGGTTTTATTAATAAAACTCCCCACTACTGTTATATTTATTGTTATTGTTATTTGCTTTATTTAATTTATCAAATTTATCAGGCAAAATTTTTTTTCAATCATTTTTTTAGATTGTCATTTAGGAAATTTTATTTGGACCAAAGTCCCCACATTACTTAAACAGGAAATCAACCAAAACACCGCAACAAAATTCAAAAATTATATAGAACGTTTTGCATCTGGTCAAACTAGTTATGTTAATGATGCTAAAATAGCATTTGACAAAATATTAAAAAACATCCGAGAGGATTTAGAGCCAGTTTTCTTACTTTTGAAAAAAAATCAGCTTGATTTATTTTCAGAGGATTATAATGAAAAGAACCTGTTTCATTCTTTAAGGTATCATAGATATAAGTTCAATAGATATATTGTAGTTGTGTATGTGTTAATTTAAAATCAAGTGTTTGTTTATATTTATATTTATATTATTTGTATTTAGTGATACGGAGGATTTATTGAAGTTTTTGCAAGAAAATTTTATAAATTCTGTTACTTCTTACCGCAATCAACTTTATAATTTATTACAGGAATTGGTTCCTTTTGAAGAACATCAAGAGTATGATGTTTTTACTAGAAATAATGGTATAATCAACATATTTTTGTTTTAAAAAATATTATTGATTATTATTACTATTGCTATCGTTAATATTGATATTGACACTTTTATTGTTAGCCAAAAGATTACTTATTGGTCGGATTGCCCAAACGATTGCTTATGACTCTAATGAACTTTACACGATTTTACAACCTATACATACCAATGAAAAATTAGATTATTTCAATAATAACGACTTTTTAACTGAAGGTATAATAAATATTTATCATAATTATTATTATTGTCATTTAAGATAAAATACTTATCATTTATATATATATATACATATTTAGATCAACGTTTAACGGATTTACGTAATTTATTAATGGGTGTTTATTTCCTGGCATATAAACCATGGATTTTATGGGTATTACAAAATTCTCAAAAAAAAATTACAAGGATGTTATTTGAAACTCCATGGAACGAATTAAATGTACAAACTTTAGTCTGGGAAGGTAAATTGTTATCATCATCATCACCACTTTTACTTTTATTTTATTTTTATAAAAGTAAATATTTAAAATTTTATTTATTTATTTTAGAAATTTCTTTACAAAATGAAACATCATCGTCATCATCAATAAATGAATTTACTGAAAAAATAAGATTACCATCACAGCCATCTACAGATTTAATGAATTGTTTATTTAATGTTTGTCAAGATTTATATAAAGTTGGTAGTTCAACTTTACATGAAGTAAGTATTTTTTTTTTTACAGGAAAAAAAAATGCAATAGTAATGTAATTTAATAATTTATTGTTATTATAATTATTATAGGACATAATTAAGGAACTTTTTACGAATTTGTCCATAAAGATCTTTCACCAATATAAATCATTTATAGTAAATTCAGAAAGCTTTTCAAATCTATCTGAAAAAGGAGCAATTCAATTATTGTATGATGTAAAATTTTTGATTAAAGTATTTGAAGGATGTTGGGCCCTTGTTCAACAAGAAAACGAAGATGATGAAAATATTGATTATAATAAACTATTTAAAGAAAAAGAAGAAATTGTTGGTTATATCTTAAAAAATATCAAACAAAAGGTATTATTATATACTAAATATGCATAGATTGATGATTAAAATTTATTCAATATTTATTTATCCATTTTTGTTTAGATTGATCCAATTGATTTAGCAATATTTGAATCTTACCTGAATAAAAATATTGAAAGACATTATACAAGAAGTTCAATCATGCTGGGATTATTATTTCAACTCAATCCTAAAGTTACAGACATGTAAGTAGCACTTATATATATTGTTTGTAATTATTTATCAAATATATACTAATCCTACTAATCCGCTGCTTGTTGAAAATCAAGGCGACGTAAAGGCGTATCATTACAAGATTTTCATAATATTTTACCAATCGCACCACAATGTTCAAGATTTACCTTATTACCAATTAGTCATAAAACAAGTCACAAAAAATATAATCAATTATAACTTAATTATTTATTGTTAATCATTTTGTATTTTTATAGTTAATAAATTTTAATTAATTTAACTTTTTATTATTAATATGTATAAGCATACGTATACATTAATTTGATTCTTTTTACAAATTAGCTGTGGCAGTTAGCTTTGTTGATTATATCCCTTCACATCCACATCCATCTGTTGCTGTTGTTCTAATTGATTCTGTTGCTGCAATTGATTCTGCTGTTGTTGATGTCTATCCAAGATGATAGATGCAATATTTGGAAAAGAACTTGAAGAAGGAGAGGGAGAGGATGATGTATCAGATAAAGCGGATTGTATTAATCTATACATAAATTGTGGAGGATCAGGTAATGGAGTTGATGAGATCGAGATATTGTTATTGGTTAATGGCAATGAAATATTTGATAATGGAGTTGATGAGATCGAGATATTGTTGTTGATTAATGGCAATGAAATATTTGATGGTAGTGAATTAATAGAATCACGATTATTTAAAAGTCTTTGTTTTTGTAGTTGTTGTGAGAATAATAATAGCGGGTCATTATTATTAATAAGAAATTTTTCTTGATTATTTAAATGATTTAATTTTGTTGAAAGTGGTGGTTGTGCTAATAATAATGGCGAAGATGATGATTTGTTATTAAGTTGATCTCGATTTGTTGATGAAGTAACCGATGATAGAGAAATGGAATTTCTAGGTTTTATTGAATTCAGCTGATTATAAAACATCAACCAATACTTGTACATGATAAAATATATGTAAACAATAACGATTAATCTGTCTGTGTATATGTGAGAGGAGTGGAAAAACCAAAAATTTTTAAAGATAAAACCTACTTGAGAATTATTAAAAATTTCTTCAGAAAGTTCTCCATAACGCATTATTTGTGGTAAAATTTTTGTAGTCACTCGATGATGACATGTGGAAAAGTTGTGATCGATCTCTTGTAAAGTCAAGGTTATTTTTTGTTCCAATTTTTCCAGTTTTGCTGTCAAATCATTATTAAGTGACATTTTTTTTTGATTCAAAATATTTCGTCATACGTGTTTTTCTTCATTACTAATTATTATTAATTTGTATAACCAGTGTAAATTTAGAAATTATTTTAAAAAATTTGATTGGATAATAGTGTCACACCCCGGAAAACCCTACGATTCCACAAATAACACGCGTGAAACTATGATTTTAAAAATAGTAAAGTCAAAGAATTAAAATCATTGTGATCAACGAATATTGGTTATAAATAAGTAAGATTGGTATAATTTTTTTTTTATAAATTTCAAAAATGCAAAAAATGAGTGAAGATTTTCTTGTGGATGAATTTAACTTGTAGGTACTAATTAATTTAATTAATCATCAATCAAATTTAATGCTAATTTAAAATCAATTACAACATACAAGGGATCCTCTTGAAATTGGAAAAGAGAATTTCAGAATGAATTTAATAATTGAATTTCAGAATGAATTTAAACATACAAATGACTATAATCTAGCCTCTTCGTTACAATTTATAAAAAAAAATGAAACACTTACACAAAAAGAAAAAGAATGGGTTATAAAATATACACAGAAAACATTTGAAATTGAGAAATTGGATAATGTAAACGGACCAAAAGAAATATGTCCTAAATGCCAAAAAGAAACATTATCTTTAACTTATTGTACAACTTGTATTAGAAACACGCTTTATGATAATTTTGGTAATTGGACGTCTGGAAATGAAGCAGTTGACAAGTTTATACAAAGTTGCCAAATGAAAACTATTTTGCCCAATAAAATTTTTGAATGGATACCATACAAGAATTTTAAAAATATTAAATATTTAAAAAAGGGAGGATTTGGTAAAATCTACATTGCTGAATGGATAAATGGTTTTATTACAGATTGGAACCAAGAGGATCGGTGTTTTTTTAGACGTGGACGTAAAAAAATCATTTTAAAATCATTGGGAAATTCTCATACTATTAATAAGGATTTTTTTAACGAGGTATTTATTTATTTATTATAATAATAATGATAATGATAATAAAACAACAACAACAATAATAACACCAACAATAATATTTTTCTTTAAAAAAAAAAAAAGGCAGAAATTCATTTTAATTTATTTTTAAAAACCAATTCATTATTATGGTGTTTTGGAATCACTAAAAATGTAAACGCTGATGAATATATGTTGGTTTTAAGTTATAAAGTTAATGGCGATCTTGGTAGTTATCTAAAGAACAACCCAAATTCATTAACATGGAAAAATAAATTTATGATATTAAATCGTGTCTGTTCCGCACTAAAGAATATACACAAGAATAATATAGTCCATAAAGACTTGCACTCAGGAAATGTATTATTAGAGAATAATTTAAATGGATGTTTCATTAGTGACCTGGGATTAAGTGGACCAGCGATTAATGGAGAATCCGAGGGGAAAGTTTTTGGAGTAATGCCATATATGGCACCTGAACTATTGAAAGGAGAAAATCATTCAATTAAATCTGATATTTATGCTTTAGGAATGATTATGTGGGAGTTGGCATACGAAGCAAGACCTTTCGACAATTTTCAACACGATACAGATTTAGTATTTAGAATTTGTGATGGTGGAAGACCTCCAATTATACCTGGAATACCAAAGCAATATATTGATTTGATGGTTAAATGTTGGGATAATGATCCAAAAAGTAGACCAAATGCTGATGAAATATTAAAATATTGTAAATTGATGTTGGAAAAATTTTATCATAAGGAATGGAATAATGAAACCTTTAAACCTGAGTATAAACCGTCAACATCTAATAATAACGAAAATGAATTTATAAGCAAAGTTTATTCGTACAAAAATTTATGTAATTATCTTTTATTTTTTTACTTATTTTTCTAAAAAAAAAAACACCCCGAATCTTGATAAACTAATAATCTCTTATTTAAATCTTATTTAGCATTTTATGATTCAAAGCAAATTAATATTTCGGTTCCATTAACATTAACTTCAATTGATGATAACAATCAATGACATTCTAATAGTAATTTGAAATTTTATGTTTTAAATATAGCAAACTTGGGCATTTTGCTCTTGGTTGTAATAGAGTTAATAATAATAACAATCAATTTAATAGAAATAATAATTTAATCCAAGAAATAATATTTTTAAATAAAATATAATCAAACAAATTTCTAATGCAATCAATTAAATAAGAATTATTATTATGATAGCTTACACTTAAATTAGTTGTTTCATTGTTTATCTTTATCCACCGTTTCCATAAAAACAATAGATTTATCTTTTCTTAAAACCTACCATAATAATAATAACAATCAATTTAATAGAAATAATAATTTAATCCAAGAAATAATATTTTTAAATAAAATATAATCAAACAAATTTCTAATGCAATCAATTAAATAAGAATTATTATTATGATAGCTTACACTTAAATTAGTTGTTTCATTGTTTATCTTTATCCACCGTTTCCATAAAAACAATAGATTTATCTTTTCTTAAAACCTACCATGGATGGAAAGAAAGAAAAAAAACAGGATTACCTCTTCACGAACAAATTCTGATGCATATTTCAATATTGCACATGTATTTCATGCGCAACAGCACTCTGCACGTCGTTCAGCTTCCTTTTATTTGGAGATTTAGTTTTCCATGTTCTTTAATCGGTACTTCCATCAATAAGTACAAATGATGATGATATTTATCTTCACATCAGGTAAAAAAAAAAAGTTTTTATGCCTGTTTTTTAGCATTCTTCTTTCCAGAAAAACTACCATTTCTTTAACCGTTTACCTTGAAGCTCAAAAATTTTACGAAAAAGCAATGTTGAATGCATTTGGATTGTTGGCAAATTCGAATAGATCAATATCAATGGCATTATCGTTTTTCTCATCAAATGATATTTGATGGTGTCAAAGATTCTATAATAATGAATGACAATGGATACATGGCATAAGCAAAATATGACAATTTGAAGCAAAGAAACGTGTAATTGGCTTACTAGATGTTTTTTTTATGGAAGCCTTGCTAGTTTAAGTACATTAGGAGATAAAACCAATCTTGACAGCATTGTACATAGGAATTTTGATTTTGACAAAAATAAACAGGCCGTGTCATGCATTATTTCTTTTTAATAGAGCTTTCCTTGAATGGGTAATATCCTAGGATTAAATCCGGTTATTCTTATTCTATTATCCTAATTGTATCTGGTGAAAAGCTCTACTTTTTAAATATTTGATTTTATGCTTTCGCTGGACATTGCCATAAAAATTAAACAACCCGTTTTTTAAAAATATTTCATTATTTTCATAATAAAGATAAACTTCATTATTAAAACTGCGCCATTGAAGCTTTCTAATGAATATTTTTTTATAACAAAAGGAATTCAAAGCAGGATTTTCTTTTCAATTCTGCTGTAAATGTCTTCATACACTCCAGATTTTTTATTAGCTATACCCCCAAAATTTTTTTAGGTGTAGATAGTAATAGTATTATATTAATTGTCGATCACACAATTGACCCCCTGAAAGCTGATGTACTGACGTCGAATTTTATTAAATTTAGCCACAAACCTTAAAATTTGTGCCTGGCACAGATTTTTCGGGACTTATTAGTAAAATCTTGGTGTCAACCAAATTACCACATTTGGAAATTAATTATCTCTCTTAGGTCGTTACTCCTGATGATTTCCTGCCCCACATTTTTTCCTTCTCGTTTTTGCTATGCTATACCCATGAAAACTTTCCATCTTTTCAACCACTCAAGTTTATAAAGGTAATATTGGATAAAAATTTTGGCTTTGAAGTAAAGTAATTCTGTTTTTGAATAATTATAGCTTTACACAGAGAACCTGCATCAATATGAGAGAGGAGCTATGATGGCACAGTTTTATTTTGGATGTTATAAAAATAATGAGATAAGTTACTGCTGCAGCCGGGTCAATTCTTGGAGGTTTTCCCCAATCCAATAATATTATTTGTAAAAAAAATAGGAATTAAATCTTAAAGAAGTTATGGATATATATCAAAAATCGGCCAGAAGTCATTTCATGTTTAAATCAGTATGAATCTTCTAAAGTCATTGATTGAGACTTTCTTAGAATTCCTCGCTTCTCAAATAAATATTGGATGGGTGCGCTGTAATGTAATAATATATAAGCAGAAAACAGTTTTTAAAAAGTGCTTCAATTAGAACCTTAGTAAACATGAAGATATGGAGATATGCTATACCACGCTTTGGCATTCACGTAAAGGTGTGCTTGCTCACGAACTTTCAGATTTTGAATGTTCATCGCCACAAGCATGGTGTGATATGACAAGAATATAATTTAGCATTGAAAGCCTTTGGTCAAGTAATACGGCAAGACTTGTCATTTACCTATGCATATACTTTGCCTGGTCATGAATCCATGGTGAATGGTGGGTGATGTTAACAATGCTGTATATAGAATATTTTAGGAAAGCTTTGCATACCAATGAACGAATGCGCTATAGGTACCATTAATATTATATAATTTCTTTTTGATAGATTTTCTGCCTTATAATCCATCATAATCTCTTTTATTTACAAAAATGCATGTCTTTATTAGCTATTATTATGAAGCATTTGGTCAAATTAAAATTCCCGAATTACATTATAGAAAAGCTATAGTCATTAATCCTAAAAAATGTGCATTCATTCTTTAGCCAATGTAAATTTTATTATTATTGTCAAAAATCAAATGATTCACTAATAATTTTATAAAAATATAGGTAGTAGAAAAATTGGGTAGACACCAAGAAGCCACAATCAACCTCATGATTATACATGAGGCAACTACAGTAAAAAACAGTTTCGACCTGATTTCACCCTATTTCGACCAGATCTGCAAATGGTCGAAATAGTTTCAACTTCATATATACTCATGATGTTAACCTACAAACTCTTTAAAAGAATAAGAGCATGATATAATAATGATTAATATGAGATATTATTGTTTTACTGATTTCTTTAAAATTAAATTTGAAAAGCATGTAATTAAAGGACTGTGAAAACTTAAGAATGCTTGTTCAAATGAACCTAAAATATGTTTTTATGAGCAAAATCGATAAAATAAAGTTCAAGTTATGGAAATTTTGTTTTCCGTTAAATACGAATCTTAAATAGTGTCAGAAGTAGAGACTTCAATTACATAGTCAATCCGAAGGCCACTTCGGTTTAATTTCAAAAATTGTGAAGATCAGTATCTGATTGGTTAAAATAAAAATTCGGATTATTGGGGTAAATTTGAATGGAAATATTTTGGTTTTAACGGGGTCTACGGATTAAAAAGTACGGTTTTAGTTTATATTAAAAATTTTTCACTTTAACAGGGGTTTGCCTATGTGTATTAATCAATAGATTGAGAGTGATCAAATGAAGGTCATGTGCAAGAACCAACAATTTATTTATTTGTATTAAGTTTTTTTTTATTGGTCAATTAAAATTATATTCCGTGTACCCATTAATGCATTAAAATTTTCTTTTTTTTTTCCTTTAAACCACCCTCATTCAAAAGAAACCTTCTTTTGAAATAAAATAAATAATAAAAATAAAAATAAAAAAAATATACCCTCACCCTAAAAGACCTTACACCCTACTCCATAAAGCAACAATATGAAAATGGATTTGACCCAGCTTTTTGGAAGGTATAATAAAATTTTTTTTAGAATGAATAATATTATTTATCATTAGTCGTGGAAACTAGCACTTTTGAATTATTATTACAATGTACACAATGCTTCACTTGTAGTATAAAGTTTGATTAAAGAGTGTGAAATTCAAACTGCATATATACGGTTAAGTGATTGACGGAAATTCGTTTAACTTACTTTCATTGTAGTATTGTAGGAAATGCACAAGACGCACGGGATCAATTCGAACGCGGTTTTGACGGAGAGGCTTTTGACAGACTTGAAGTTATATCCAAAACTATCACAGTACTAAAAGATTTTAAATCAAGTGTCGATGCATTGGTAACTTTTTTTTTGTAGATAATAAAATTATCATTATTATAGAAAAATATATACAGGGCATATTTTGACAATTTTCAATATAAATACAAATATGTATTAGCATGACGTTAATCCTCAACAATCTTCAATCGCATCAACATCTACACCTGCCAAATCTACCAAGGTTTGATTTTATTAATTAATTATTTAAATACCTTAATAATAATATCAATAATAATATTATTACTATTATCATTTATCATCATTATTTTTATTTAGAGACCTCATGATTCTAATTTTGAAAAATCTCGAAAAACAATAAAATCCAATGCTGAAGATACGCCCACTATTACTAGTGAAGTATATTCTGTGAATGTACATAATTTAATACATTTGATCGATTATTTCCCAAAATATATATATGTTATATATTGATTATATATTTATGTATTTATGTATTACTAGCATCAACAACCAATTTACACTTCATCTGGAGATTTGATTCCAAGTCCACCTAGAACTCATTCACATGCACCATTAGACCCTAATTTACTAAGGAATTTGGATGAAATTTTCGTCACATTCTTACAAAATATTTGTTCAAATTGTATATATATATATTTTTTTTTATTTTGTTTATTATTCTATTTTGATTTTATTTTTATCAACTAACAATATTATTAATCAATTAAAATTTTTAAGTGGATGCCAGAGATTCTAAAGGAGAACAAATGTATATATTTTATATATTTTGTGTAATTTGGATTTTTTTTAAAAAAATAATAATTTAATTTACTGTATTTTTTTTGATAGTCATCAAACTTTAATGGCAAAGAAAATGCAAAAATTAAGTGAATCACCAGATTTTCGCCCATTTAAGTTTAGAATTCAAGCTTTTACAAATGCGTTTCACGAAGAATTACTTCACAATGGATATACCGAAGAAGTTTTACCAATGAGAAAAGTAAAAAATTACTTGTGGACTCAACGGTTGGTTATTTAATTTCATAAAGATTATGATGATTACTCGGAACAATTGTTTATTATCATTTTTTCAGATATATTTCAAGATTTAATGAAGATGGGAAGAAAGCCAAGTCTAAGGGAAATCATGTTTGGAATATTGAAGCTAAAAAAACACCTGCTGGTGGATGGGTATTCCGTGAGTTTACACGTAAAATAGCAGGTATTCCAAATAAAGTTGCATATGTTGGAGCCAAATACACTTATTCCCCTCGAGTTTGGGATCCACAAGTTAATATAAAATGTAAGTAATTGATCAAATTATAAAAATAATAATATTATTAACCATATTAATATTTTATATGTTTATTATTTATTAGCTATTAAGGCTGTTTTTCACTCAACTTGGTTGCCTGACTGGCTTAGATGGGAAAATAATATTCTTACTGGTACACCTGATATGAATTCTCAAAGTTGTGAAATTACTGCAATTGCTAATTATTACCACGGTGATACTGTGTACAAACTTGAAAAATCCTTTTATATTACTGTTGTTGCTCATGTCGATTCAACGGAGCATCATGAATTAAATCCCATGGTGAATTCTGTGGTATAGTATTAAAAAAGTTTATATGCTTTGATGATTTCTTATTATTATACTAATTTGTTTTAATACTTATTTAATAGGCAATTGGCGATTATCAATTGCAATAATTGCAATCATAATGCCAAACTTCAATTTTTTTCTTTTTTGTTCTTTTTTTTTTTTTAGTCTAACAAGTATTACTGCTGCCCATTTTATAATACCCAATTTTGTTGTCACATAAATAATCTGACATTAAATGAATAACTATTAAAATTGTATTTATTTGTTAAAGATACTTTTGCCCATTGTTCATTTAAGTAGTTTAATTGTAATTATTTAAAAAAAAAACATACTCAATGGTTTAATAAAGTAATAATAATAATAATAATAATAATAATAATAATAATAATAATAGGCTTCACAATACTGTTATTAATTTACAAAATTCTTATTTGCAAATACATCATCCATTGGAGTTGTGGTTTGAAAACAATATTAATATGTTTACTATGTTCTTTACGTAAATTTCGGAAATCCTGTATGTGATATTAATATGCAGATCACAAAAAAAATCACATATAACCAATCAATGACATTAATTAGTTTTGATTTTCTTGGAATGTCGCAATTTTTATTATTTAATTAATATACACAATTTATAAGAATTTGTATGTATATATTCCATTATTATGAAATATCCATAGCGTCAACATTTTCTGTAGTATTAACATCTGAGACAACCAAAAAATTACGAACTGATTCTTTAAGAAGAGCTAATAATAATGATATCATAAAAATTTAGTTGAAATATAATAAAAATTATTTTACATGTATATAGGTGATTGTATTATTAGTCAGATACACACCTGTAGTGCCATGTTTAAATTTATAACTCTGTTCTTTTGGTGGACGTTGATTTGGACTTGCATAATGCCGAAATACTTCTACTTTATTATCTTTTTCAATGACTGTTATATCAATACTTGATCCAGAACCTAAATCATTAAATATACCAGCTTCAATAGCATCACTAACAAGAGTGATTGCATCTTGCCTCTATTAAGAAAATAAAAATTTTTCTAATTAACTTCTTCTTCTTCTTCTTCTTCCTTTAATAACAATAATAATGATATAATAATAATGAGTGAAAAGAACCTCCAAATCCTTTTTCCATCTGCTTTCAAAAATTGACATTGCAGCCAATGAACCACTGCCCATTGTTACATATGGTAGTTTGTCTGTACTTCCATGTGGATATATAGTAAATAATTGAGAACCCATTACATCAACACCACCAAGTATCAATGCGGCACCAATATGACCTTGATGTCTAGTTTAATTTAGAATTACAAAAATGGAAAGATATATTTAAATTTTAAAAAGTAAACTAACAAAAAATTATTATCGATTAATGACATAAAGCCAACCTAAAAAGCATCTGTTTCAACATAGTCATAGCAGTAACTATTCTAGATTGTCTTCCAGTTGTTAAACGATGTAATTCCATTTGAGAACTTATCAAATCGGTGGCAAACGCGGTGTCAGCAGCTGTACCAGCACCGCAACAATAAATGTTTGGAGAAACATAATGAATTTTGGTACAGTTTTTATCTGCTATAATTGTTCCATTTGTTGCACGTGTGTCGGCTCCAAGGACAACTCCATCCTTATGGAATAAATTTTTTTTTTAAAAATAAATTAATTTGTTTATAAGTTGTCTTTTAACTAGTTGAGAGAATCAATGAATACCTTGAAAATCAAGCCAGCAATTGTAGTACCAGTTTTTAATGGTTTGGGCAAAGTGAGACCTTTTTTTTCTAAAGCAAGATTTCTTTATATAAAATGAATGGATTTTATTTTATTTTACATGTATGAATTTTTTAGTTGGCCCTTCCTTAAAATCAAACATTATTTGAATAAAATTCAAAACATTAACCTTTGATAATTTTCAAAGCTAAATCCTCCTTTGGGCAGCTCTACTCTTGACACCATGTTTATTTAACGATTATGTTATATAAGAATAAAGTTGACCTTTTTTCTAAAAAAAAGCTCTGTCTGATTCACGTAATCTATATGTGACGATCGTGTTACACACACCCAAATAAAAATATTTGAAGATCTAAATTTTTTTTGAAAAAATTTTTTTTTAAAAAAAAAAATAAAAATGGCACCTAAAAAAGTAGAGAAAACAGAAAAAACAGGCAAGTAATAAAAAAACAATCAATTGAAACAAAAACGTAATGACAATTGATAATTAATTGATAATTGTTAAAAGGTATACATTTGGTTAAATATTCATATTGCTTATATTTATACACACACAAAAACCTTTTTTTGTTAACAGCAACTGAAAAAACTAAAAAGGAAACTGCTACTGCAACTAGTGGTGGCGACTCTTCTTCCAAAGAGAACAGTAAAACCAAAGATAATAAAAACAAAGAAAAAGCCAAAAGTAAAAGTAAAGATAAGAAAAAGGTAAAGCCCAAGGAAAAAACTAAAGCTCTTGCAGCCAAGAAAGCAGCAACAAAAGGAGTTAATGGCAAAATCGTAAAAAAAATTCGTACTTCAACAACTTTTCATCGTCCTAAAACTCTTCGACTTTCACGAGATCCAAAATATCCTCGCAAGTCCGTTCCGCATGTAACACGGCTAGATAAATTCAAGATTTTAAAAAACCCATTAAACACCGAATCAGCAATGAAAAAAATTGAGGATACAAATACATTGGTTTTTATTGTTGATACTAGAGCCAACAAACGTCAAATTAAAGATGCAGTTAAAGAGATGTATGATGTAGATGCTCAAAAAATTAATACATTGATAAGGTGAGCTGAGATTCTTATTTAAAAATTTTTTTATTCAAATATGAAAACATATTAATATTAATCTTTTATTATCAGACCTGATGGAACTAAGAAGGCTTATGTACGTCTTACAAGTGACGTTGAAGCTTTAGATGTTGCTAATAAGGTTTCTATTTTTTCTCATAATATATTCATCATTGATTTAATTTATTATTAACAATTTATTAATTAAAATTTTATTAATTTTCATCTAGATTGGATTTATTTAAATAAATAAAAATCAAATAATACATATTATTACCGTCATCAGTTATTTATTCAATATGAAAAATGCTTTAATACCGATCAGTCAAATAAATATGTTATCATAAAAGATATTAATTTAGTATCTTTGATAATTGCCATTATTAGTAGTAATACTATCTTGCTGGAAATACATCAATATTTAATATTTTTCCAGCAGTTGGCCATTTATTCGGATTTGAAGCATCTATGCTAATTCCATACAAAGTTTTGGATATTCCTTCATATACCTTCATTACAAGACCTGTACCGTGTGCAATATTGCTAAATGGTCATTGACCTGATGACACTGCTGACATCAGTATAATAGATATTTATTTTTGGTCTTTTAACTTCAGGTGTAACTATGCAGTGCTCTAAAAACATTCTCGGCTCAACTTTAATTTTTGATAAATAATTTTGAAGGTTCCATTATTAAATATTTCATTACAAATATATTGAGATATTCTTTGTAATATCAGTTAATTTACATAATTTTTAAACTAAGAATTATCATTAATAAAATAACAAAAAAGTCTTGACGTCCCATCGGAAATATTGCAACATCTCTGACATTTATACAAGTGGCTAGCTCTATATATAGTCGCAAATCCACTCCATCTACCAATCTTTTCAATATCATTTAAATCATCATAAGAAAATAATATTCATTATTAAATACTTTTAATCTCAATCCTTGGTTAATATTGTGATCATAAGATCGACGCCAAAGTTATCGTACAAGTCTTATCTTTTTTGTAATTGCCTTATTTATCATTTGTCAATAGAAATAGTTCAGATTAATTTTTTCAACTTGCATAATATTTTAATTTTATCCGTCTCTATTATTATATTTTTATAACGGTTCTTATACGTGTTTCTTTCTTTGTTTATAGATTTGTATATAATTGAAAGCGAAACAATTCAAAAACAATTATGATACCAATCTTACACCATATTAATGTTTAAATAATACGACACTAATAATCATTTTTGATTGAATAAATTCCTCTTCACAATTTTCAATTTTCAATTTAATTTGAAATATCTTTTTTCACTTCCTCCATATAATAAAATAAGCAAGTAGCAGCACAATTGTTTGATAGTACAGCGCCGCAGAATCAAATTTGGTGGACCTGTTTCTATCGTTATTTCAGAAACGAAACCGTCATTATCAATACCACATCAAATTACTTTTACAAATTTCAATGCTGGACACTGTATCGTAAAGTAATATTTTATTGCTTGATCACAATCTACTGATTATTGTGCCAATGCCGCCAACTGGGACTGGATCATTTAGCATCACGATTGGTTTCACTCTGAACAAATATAACTTATACTCGGATGCGGTTTGAGTATACGCGTATCTTGATTTTTAAAAAAACAATTCTTCTATAACTATTTTGTTAAAAAAATTAGCACAAAGTTCAGATGATAAACCTAGAGTTATATATATTGTAGTCACATGGTAAAGTCACGTGAAAATAATCTAAGCGTCAAGATTTTTTTACTTTTGTCAAGGGTTCAAAAGTTAAAAACTACTTTTAGTCGATACTTAATTACGTCAAAGATCAATGTTAAAAGTATCATTAATACTCACATTTTAAATTTTGACAACAACATAATGAGATTTTTTTGAAATTGATTCAAATTTCTTTATAACCCGAATGTAAGAAATATGCTAATAAATAAATACCTTGCATGATTAAATTACTTCCAACGTAAATTAAATTTATTAGTGCAGAATTTTCTACAACAGCTAACTCAACAAGATCTAGATAAAAATTTGCAAAATTTGTGTTTTCTGATTGCAAGAATCTCTCATTGAAAATATTTTTGAACGCGCTATTAAAAAATTATATCCCTTAATTAGATTTGAAATAAAGCGTGATTATAAACGTGCAAACTATGATAAAGTGTCATAGACTGATGTCCACCGAGTTTGACAAATATTTTTTAACCCTCTACCAACAATATTATAATTATTAATAATCTTGATGTGATTTTTTAAAACTTAATTATTCGATTACACGATGAAGCGTTGAGAAATACGCCTAAGATTAAATATACGAGGGAAGCTATTTCTCTAGCTAATTCAGTTACTATAGCCACGAATTTTTGTGATCTGATTTCATCAAGATTTTTTCATCAAGAACTGACACGTGTGGCTACTGTGAGAAAGATCTCCTACAGGAAATAAATATGTGCTTTCATAAAAGTTTGACAAAAGAGTTTAGGCAATTTGGTTTGTTTATTTCCTTGATTTGTTGATTGTTACCTCATCCAAATAAAAACGAGAGATAGGATAATGACATCCAGTACATTTATTAACTAAATGAGCCTTGATGTTTCACGATTCCAGATTTTTGTGCAATATTTGCAAGATGCCGAGTAATGTAAACATACATCAGACAAGAATGTCCCGAGCCAATCCTTGATTGTAGTTAAATAAATCATTAGTTCAATTCTAAACAAATATGAAACCGCATTTCAGAGGAATTGGTAAATTAGAATTTGGCACCATGAATTTAAACAGTCAGTTACCTATACAGCCAATATACTTCTGAACCAAGATGTAATTCACAAAATGATTGTCATTTTGTCACCTTAAAGTGTAGAAATCTTATCTCGTAAGATTTATTTTCTGCATATGACGAAAAGAAGACGTTTTGTCACCCAACCTTAGTTGTAAACACGTCAATGAAGTTGTAAAAAATGTTACCGATGTTTAACATTATATGTCTAAATTACAAATGTTGTATATTCCCAGATATCTTAGTCAATGTGACCCAACCATGATTTACTCTTCCAAAAACGTCATCCCAAAAAGAGTATATATGTGGTGTTTGTTCCAAATATTTTTCATGGTATACTCGACATCAGATACGACTCCTTGTGTTATTTTGGGAGGTTTATTATCATTGAACCAAATTTGCCGTGCCGTACGATTTGTCAAATAATGATATTAATACGTTGAACAACAATATATCAAGTTTGCCGAGCAATTTGTCAAACCCATCAAGTTTGTCACCAAATACCATTGGAAAAGATATTTATAAAGCAAAAAAAAAAAAAAAAATTAATAAAGTCAAAAGAAAAAAAAACTGCACAGCATAAATACGCGGGATCGTGTTCACTTGATACCTGCTCTCACATATTTGGTATTTTGTTCAGATTCCCATTGGTCGTCACGGCATTATTTGCTTCACAGAATTATTTTTCGTGCTCTTGTACCCGTCCTGGGAACGGTCGCGGTATTACGTGACTCATAAAACCTTCTGTTTGGGTTGCCAGATACGTTGGTCGTCACGGCGCTACGTGCTTTACAGATTATCATTAAAAAAGTTATATTTTCATTTGGGATACTTCGGGCAGACACGTCTCAACGGAATTAAATCGCTAATGACTATATGGTTTCTACACAAAGGTAAATAGTTTGCTTTTGCTATGAGATTGTGTTTGCAAACGGGTTGTGGATATAAAGTGCAACAAAAACAGTTGAAAATGATGAATTTTGTTCCGGAAACCTCAAAAATATTTATTATATTTGATACAGTAAATCAATTGCCTCACCCTAGTCACCTTAAAGAAAGGATGATATACTAGGGCCACGCATAATTTAATAATTAAAAAATTGAATAAATCTGATTTCTTTAGTGTCAGATTTAACAGAATTATCCTTTATCCGCCCGTGCAAGCACAGTACACGTAAATACGTGCACCCTTGTTATCCTGTGACTAAGTCAGACGCTTTAGTCCAGGGACAATTCGCTACACGGGAGAAGCACCTTGGATTGACTTCGAAATGCAACCCAATGGAAATTGGAGCCTCCCTATTACACCCCAAATTTCCGTTGCATCATATCTTAGTGGATAAGAGAGTCGGATTCGCTTTTCAGGAGTTAAGGATAACTAGAATTCAAGTCTTGAAAGAATAATTTTCAAAAAACAAACAAACAAACAAAAAACAAACAAATAAATAAATAAATAAATAGATAGAAAGATAAATAAATAAATAAATAAATAAATAAATAGATAGATAGATAAAAATAAATGGAATGTTGAAAAAAATCTTTATATTTACATTCTATATGCCCATTTGTTGAAGGTGGCATATATACGTTGGATATCTCTCATTTCTTCTGTGATCTCGTTTCTTGAGGAGAGCAGATAAAGAAAATTTTTACAAATAATAATTAATAGTTGGAATGGATAGATTGGTGCTACACTGGACGACAGAAAAGCCATCAACTAACTTTCCAGAAATGGTATCTGCTCATTAGGATGAAAATAATTGGTCAAGATACTTTCAGTGGTATATTCTCACCTAGCCAAATTTTATTGCTAAAACTCTTAGTCAGCTCGTATCACGATGATCTTCATAAATCTTATTGGCTAAAATTTTGTTCATGTGATAAATTCAAAGCTTCCCGCCCCTTAATACCCCTTGTATCACTTGTTTAGTTAATGTAAATGAAAATAAATAATAACCACAAAACTTTAAATAAAACTTTAATTGATGGATGATCCGTCTATAAATGAGTAAAATATCGATCCTTTTACTATCAAAAACGGCGAAAATATAGAGTGATCTGCGAAAGTATCCATCATTCGTTTTTTTAAAAGTTGAAGCTTTGAAAATGATTCGAAATTTAAATGGTTTTATAGTTTAAAACAGTTTCAGAGTTTTATTGAATAAAAGCTTAATCATTTGATGTAATTGAATACTAAAATTAATTATGAATAGTAACCCCAATTAAAAATAATTATACACTCATTTGTGCTGACATTTTAATAAGTTGCACAAACATAAAAAACTTTTTCATAAAATTAATATGAAAAATCTCACTCATCTCTATATATATCCATAAGAGCAAACTCTTTCTTTTTGATAGTCTTATTAAAAAAATGTATGGATATGTTCTTTGACATCTGTTCCATAATGCAAAACAAAAAACGATTTTTTTATACAAAACTATCAATTCTGACATTTTCCCTTCCGTTGATCATGGATGGATTGTCAAATAAGCCACTAAAAAATGATGATACATTAATTATTTCCTTTTTAAAAATTATATTTTTAGTTGTATTGGGTGTTGATCAATTACTGGATTAATTGGTATTTTTAAAAGTCTTTACCAATTATTACTGGTGCATAACAATACTAATAATGGAATGACAGTTTTAGAGTGGATAACTTTAAGTAAGGTGAGCCTGCTTAGCAAGTAGCCAATCCGTTTTAAGTTATGGAATGTGGTATTATATAAACGTAATAAACTTTACTTCTTGGAATATCTTTAATAGAGTTATTTGGAATATAAGCTATTACACTACTTGGTATTCATACATCTCCAGCAACATGCAATATAGCATCTGTTGAAACAGATGTTATTGAGTCAGATGCATTATTCAGTAGTACATTTCTCTGAAGGAGCTAACAATAATTAGGATATGTGATGTCCAGGAATGAAAGGTAGATTGCATGTTGATGAATAATATGCAATTGACTTTAACAAAACACACAGTAACAATTATGATTGCTTGCCAAAAATTCTCCAGAAATCAATCAGCAGAGCTTTGGCAGATTACAAACTAATTGTTTGTTAGAGTTTCGGCAGAGATTCGCGTTTGAGGGTTTTAGCAATTGGCAGAGTTTCAGCAAGGTGCACACCTATTGTTTATCAGAGTTTTGGAAGAGTTTCGATAGCCATTAGAGGTTTCAGCAAACAACCTTAGTAACAATGCATGAGATATTGTTTGCTGAAAGCTACTAGTAATGATAATATTTCATGATTTTATGGTGGGTCTAGCAACAATTTCATGAAATTGTTGGCATAATGGTTATAGATCGTGATGTATAGCCAAATTAAAGGCTGACGAGAGTTTTAGCCGGGCAACTCAAGGCGTGCGGCTGCAACTATATTCCAGTTATCACTCAACAAATCTTATGGAAAACGTTATGTTGAAACATTCAGACATAGATTATAATTTCCCTTCATAATAACTAATCATAACATATCCATAATTATTCGAACTCTTTAAGTTAAATGGCGTATTAGCATATAGTTATTTTATGTTTATTCATATAAGGAATTTTGAAAACCCGTAAATATTGGAATAATCACTTTTCCTCCAAAAATAATTACAGCAAACAACTATATTATAGATCCTATTGATGATTGATACCAATTGGCTAATCTTTCAACAAGAAATATCAGGTATAGTTAGTTCTTCTTATTTAAGAATTAAATGTGACAACAAGTAGGGCCTTTTTTGAGTCTGTAATTCTCAAGTTACTTTTAAAGACACAAAAATTGTTGGTCCAGAAAAACTACTTGGAAGTTATTGTCAAATAGACAATGTCGCAGAAATATAGTTGGTGTTAATTGAATGTTGACATACTACTATAAGACGGTTTGAATAAACTTTGTAAAGTTACGCTAGCATAGGTGAAGCTAGTGTAAAGACTATCAAATTGCATTATAGCACAACAGGAACAATTAATACAGCAGATGCGCAAACTTTTCAGCACAACAGTATATTGAAAAAGGCGGCATTATTATCCCTGACATGGATCTTGGCGGGGAGGAGTTGAATTTGGAGAAAGGCTTCCTATCAATAGTTTATCAGTAAGTGAAGGCATTCTTTTATTATTAGAAGAAGCTTCCAATTCTGACGCAAATGCTGCTTCTGTTTCTGCTACTGCAGTATATATTATGTTTAATCTTGTGGATAGTTTAGTGGTTATCGGATAAATGGATATTTAAAAGTTGGCCTTATTACAACAATGGATTAACTGAAAAAGGTATATATAAGCATATGTACCAATGTCGGTGGAACGATATTATGATCAAGATGGTGACTTCTACCAACCAGACTGAAATCGTTGACACATGCTATGTTGTGCATATTTATAGCAAGTATTATGCATAGACATGTTGTTTGGCAAATGGAACTTGGTAGAAAGATATTAAATGTATACGAATGTGGAAAGACAGTTCATCAAAATGTACAAAATAGATAAATAATAAAAAATTAATTACTTAAAGTGAATAGATGATTCAGTTATTTATTTATTCAATACAAGCCTTGTCGATTTTGTGACTCTATCATTCCTCAAAATCCAAATGATAAAAAAAATAACAATTCCTTTTATTGTTTCTTGATTAATAACATATTAAGTTTTTTTACATTCTTTGACTAAAATAAAGTTTCTTGACAAGTTTTTTGTTATCAATATAGCCATTTCTCTTTTAACGATTTTTAGTCTTGATTCGGCTGGAATAAGTTTTATCTTTGGAGAAAATTTATAATCAGTCCAAGTAATTGTTTGGAAATCCATTCACTTGTTTTTGACTAAACCTTGCATCAACAGTCTGCAATAGTGGGTGGCGTTACCTATTACTATTGATAATATTCAGCGATTATTAGATCAATATTGAAGATGGCTATATTTTATTATATCACCTTCACTAATTAAAGACTAGTGACGTAATCCAAAAAAGGAAAAAGTATGGTTGCAAAAGTGGTCGCAAAAGTAATTGCAACCACCTTTTATATGCCATAAATACAATTACTACCATCATCATAATTTACGGCACTAGTCTTTATCACTAATACCGAGCCATTATCAAAATCCACAATTAAGAAAAACTACAATAAAATATAGTGAGAAAGAAGGCGATGATAGCATAAATTAAGAAATCAATTTTTATTCTTATAAAAATAAATTTATCCAATTATCCATATTACAAAATATGCTGAAGCAATAAAACGGTTAAAAAAATATAAATTAATGTCAATCGTCAGAGTTTTGACAAGATATATATTAATTGTTCATTAGAGTTTCGACAGAGTTTTGACAGTCACTAAGAGGTTTCGGCAAGCAACCTTACCTTGGTGTTATTACTACCTGGGTGATGCAATTGTTTGTTATGTCAATTATAAACATCAAATGTATTGCATAATCATGTTACCAGAATTATATTTGGACGCTCTTTTTGGCCGAATTTAACTAATTCCGAAATTCTTATTGTTATATTTTAGTTATTTCTATTTTTATAACCTTATTTTTATTAATTTAGTATTACACAGTGAGTCTCGGTATAACGGATATGTTTGTTCCAGGAAATTTATCCGCTATTCCGGGTCGAGATATATGTAAAAAATTGAATTTTTGATTAAATCATGTGATACATGTTACGTAAAAAATTAATTTTATTTTTAATAATATGAATGCAAATAATAATGATGATAATAAAAATACATTGGTAAAAAATTTAAAAAAAAACAATTCATTCACTTAAAACGTTGACATTATAATAATCTTCCATTCTTATTTGCACTTGTTCTTGAGAATTTTTGTAAGAAATTTCACTTTTAATCTTTTGACATTTCTAATTACTTGAAAATCAATATCTAAAATTTTTTGCTGTACATATTTAAGTATAGTTTCCGGAGCTTTTATAGCCTCCATATTAATGATCATCAGCTCAGGTTCATTTGTTTCATTTGTTTCATCGTCATCAACTTCACCTTGTCCTTTTACAATATTTAGAATTTTAGCATATAAAGAAATAAAAGGAAATGACATATTGATAGTTTCATTTCCAAGAAATAGCTAGAAATATGTTGGATTAAATTGTGGATGTATTGCTGATTATTACATTTTATTTCTAATTATTTTACATTCTTAATATTAATATTTAATAATTGCGAGTCATTACTCTTATTAGCCCAAAATAGTAAAGATCATCATGGTCGTAATATCGAGAAAAATTTATTACAAGTATAAATGACATATGAATTTTTAAAAAATATCTGGTAAACTGAATTTATATGAAAAATCTGTTAAATCCGTTAAACCGAGGTAAAATTGTTATAGAAAAATTTGGTTTTGAAAATTTATCTGCTAAACCCCCAAATCCGCTATACTGAGGTCTGCTATACCGAGACTCACTGTGTATTTTATCTGTGTTACATCTACTTTCGTAATATGTTTTATTTTTATTAATTATTCGTATAACGTCATAATTTATTTAACTTATTTAAGAAAGAATCATCTTGAGATATCCTCACAATTTTGGGATATCTGTGTAATTTTGAGATATCGTCTCAATATTGGGATAACTTTTCAATATTGAGAGAATATCTCAATTTTGGGATATTTAGAATTACTAATTAATTGAATTGTATATAAGGAGCTTGAATTCAATGTACTTGTAAAGTAACTTTCTAACAAGTTAATTAGTTTCGACTAAGGAAATAACTTTGGAATAAGTTAATTAGTTTCGACTAAGAAAACTAAATAAATAAAATAATAAATATTTTATTTTATTTAAAAACTTTTATCTTCTTAACCCAAAATTATTTGCTAATAACAAAATCAATTCATTGATCCCCTATTCAGATCCACACAAAATAAAAATAATTGTTATTACCAACAGTGTTGAAAATTCAATGTCCGAAATGTCTGTGTGTAAGGTTACACACCAGATCGAATTTATAATTTTTTGAAATAGTTTCTAAATTTGTACTAGTTACACAACGAAATTTCAACACTGATCATCAATTAAAATATGCCCAAATTTAATTGGTGACAATAATCATGACCATCATGAATATTTGATGGATGGAGGCATTCGCATACAAGGAAATGATTAAATAGCTAAGTCATGTTTGTTTTATTAAAGATATATAATTAATTATATTTAAAATATACAATAAAAAAAATTGCAAGACTGTATCACTATGTCAATAAAGCTATCAGGCTGTTATGTTTGTGCATGATTTAAAATTCTTTTGTGCTAGTTTAGGGTCCTATCTTTCTTTGCTTATATATAATTTTTTTTTACTGGTTGAATGATGCCAAATTGGGTAATGGGTTATATCAGTAAATAACAGAATCTGATATCTGACTGATATTCTTTAAAAAAATAATCAAGATATTGGCATACTAATAAGTTAATAATATTCCTAGTATTTTTATCGTATAGTCTAAAAGCCTATTAGTAAATATTGAAAGCACTGATGTTTATTAGATATTCTTCTAAAATTAATGCTATTTTTTAGTTAATTATTGACCTAATTTAATAACCAATAGCTCTTTTATATTGTAATGAAGTTATTAGTTAAATATTTCTAAAGCTCTTTGTATTAAAATAATATCATAATCTTGAATAATATGAATAATATGAATAAATGAATAATATGAATAATATGAATAATAATAAAACAAATAAAAGCAAATAAAGAAAATAAAGCAAATAAAACAAATAACTCAAATAAAACAAATAAAGTGAATAAAACAAATAAAAGCAAAAAGCAAATAAAGTAAATAAAAGAAATTAACTCAAATAGCATTAATATTAATAAACAAACAATGGATTGAACCAATCACACAAGTAGTAGTCAATTTAAATGATGTTGTTTTTAAAGAATTTATTCAAAATAATCATTAAATGTATATAGTTTAATGATTTTTAATGTTGCAAATTTTTTTAATACATCAATCTCAGTCCAAAAACAATCATATTTATATACTCTAAAGTTTCTTTATTCCTTTTTTTGATAATAATTTTAATCATTTGTTTGTTTTATGTAGTAGATTAAATGATACAAACACCACTACTACAGTAAATTTCAGAGAACCCAATTACATGAAAACACACTATTAAGTTAGCATATTACAAAGTTACTTTTAAAGTACAGCGAATTCTTGTTCCTTATATACATGTTTAGTTAATCAGTATTTCAGTGCATCTGAGATTAATTCCTTCCAAATAAATAATAACATAATCGAATACAGATAATTAATAAATAATAAGTTTTTAAATGAAAATGTGACAGTGAGCTTCATGCCTTTTACTTACACAATGACATCACTCAGGTCAAGACAATATAGTCTATTTATTAATTCAAAAAAATATAAATACATCTGGAAAATATAAAAAAATTTTACATGTGTCAATTGTAAGTTTAATAATAAAAAAGTGTAAAACTTACGTCGGCACTGTAAGATTTACACAATATTATGTCGGCATCGTAAGATTTATGCAAGTTTACGCTAAATTAATTTCCTGATGTAGGACAGCTGTCCTCACATTTTTTTTCATGCGATCATACACACACACACACTCTCTCTCACAACTAAAAGACAACAAAATTGATTTTTAGATGATCTGCATTACAGCCAATCAGAATTTCATACCCAAGTGCTGTTAGGAAATATACCAAATATAGAAATCGATTCTATATAGATTTTTTTGCCGATCATCTCATATATGATACAAATAAGTTGAAAACACTTCCCCATTATATCAGATTACATTTTTTCCTACAAGAACCCTAAAAATAAATATTGAATAAATTCTTTTGAATACACACTTTAATAATCCTCTCCCATCCCCAAAGCTTTATATAACAACATAAAGAACTGTCTTGACTCAAAACTTGCTTGAAATTAACTTAAAATTTCCTTTTATAAATTTTAAACATCATGTAAAGTTGGGAAGCAAAAGTGAAGGCATGCATCAGAATTAGCAGCAAGGGAGCATGCGAAATTATTTACTAGGTATTTTCCTATTTATTTATTTTTATTTGTTAAAATCATTAATTATTTACAATTATAAAAAAATATTTCAAGATTTTTGTATACTTTCAGGCCATAATTAATTTCTGTACTGGGATTAGAACAAACCAACTCTTACTCAAAGTGGCTGCACATCAAATCTTTGCTCCAATATGGTCAGCTAGA